TCCCCGAGGTGGTCCCAGGAAGGAAGCAAGGTCGGGAACCACTAGGTGGCTCGCTCTAGGCTGCACTCCTGAGCTCTTTACCCTGTACTCACTGGCCTGTGGGAGGCACGGAGAGTGCAGCCGCGCGTGAGGCCTGCCCTCCACTGGGCTCCCGCAGTCCCAAGAGCCAATCGGGCTAATCCCACCTCCATTTTGCACATGTGACATATAGAAACAGTATGTGTAAACACATGGATATTTAATAGGAAATGCCTGTGTGTGTGAGTGTCCTACTGGGGTTGGACCCAGGGCCTTTGCCCTACACTACAACCCCAGTTCTTTTTTTTATGATTAGTTTTTCAGACGGGTCATGCTCTGTCGTCGAGGCTGGCCTTGAACTCACTGTGCAGCCCAGGCTGACCACAGACTCAGCCACCCTCCCTCCCAAATGCTGGGGCTCCAGGTGCCAACCGCCATGCCCGGCACGGATTCTTTCTCTTCAGACAGGGCCTTGTTAAATTGTAGGTCACCCAGACTGGCTTGTATTTGTGACCCTCCTGCATCAGAGTGCTGGGAGTACACCATGCTTGGCTCGTCATCCTTTGTAAGGGTCTGGGGCCGTCTATCTTCCATACCATGAGGGGATCCCAGAGCTCCATTTGCTCCACGGCGCGTCCCAAGAGCTCCTAGGAAATCTCTTGCAGTTCTAGGTCTGGTACCGACAGGTCAGTGTCAAGGAAAGAATGTTAATGTTTCTTCCAGCAGCTGATGGCAAAAGCTCGGCAGAGGGGAGCTCATCCACAAAACATTTATAGAGCACTTTGATGAGGAGAGCTCGGAGCACTCTTGTTAGCTGGATTATAATTTCTCTTGTCCTTTTCCTTCAGTATTGGCGATAGAACCCACAGCCTGTGCACCTCAGAGCTGGGCACAGATGCTCCACCCCAGCCCAACAGCCTCATTTTAAAAAAATGCATAGCTAAAACAAACTCCTTGTCCTATCTTCCTTATTTGTTACAAATAATAAGATAAATTTTATAGCAAGACTAGAAGCAAGCAACATTGTAAACAGTCACAATCTCTGGGTGAAAATACAGTTTTTTGTTTTGGTACCGGCATTTGAACTCAGGACCTCACAATTCCCAGGCAGGTGCCATTGAGTCATATCCCTGGCCCCAGAATATAATTGATTTGAATCATTTTCTGCATCATTCAGAATTTCAGGGGGGTTTCCTATTCAGATGGAGACACATGCTATGTAAGAAATTAAAAGTGGGTCATAAAAACTCAACTTCACTTGGAATTTAAAAACAAAATTCTTTTTTTTTTTTTTTTTTTTTTTGTCTTTTTGACTTTTTGAGACAGGGTCTCGCTATGCAGTTCAGGCTGGCCTCAAGCTCACTTTGTAGCCTAGGCTGGTCTCGAACTCGCAATGATCCTCCTGCCTCAGCCTCCTGAGTGCTGGGATTACAGGCATGAGCCACCATGCCCGGCAAAACAAAATTCTTTAAACTCATGACATTGACAAGGATCTTATATAGGGAAAATTCTGGTCTAGGGGAGGGGACAGCAGACAAGGCACTGTCATATTCAACTGATGTGAGCAGAGGTTGGCATCAGCTTTGATGGGCAACTTGGCCAAGATCTATAAAATGCACACATTTCTGAATCCTGCAGTCCTACTTCTAAGACTTTTTTTTCTTTTTTTGTTGTACCGGGGTTCAAACTCATGACCTCACACTTGCCAGGCAGGTGCTTATGCCACTGAGCTAAATCCCGGGCCTAAGACTTTTTTCTTATAGGTGGTAAGAGTGCAAAGATATGGGATAGAAGAGGGCGCTATATGGGTTTTTTTGAAACAGGTTCTTACTCTGTAATTTAGGCTGGCCTTGAACTCACAGCAATCTTCCTGCCTCAGCCTCCTGAGTGCTGGGATTGCAGGTGTGTGCCACAACACCTGATGGAATTTTAAGTAAATGGTGCTATATTCATATAGTGGAGTGTTCTATTAATATAACTGTTGAGACACACATGGTGTGCACGTTTGTAATTCCAGTGCTTAGGAGGCTGAGACAGGAAGATCACCATGAGTTTGGGGCTGGCTTGAGATTACAGGTATGTGCCACCATGCCCAGCTGTAAGGGAAGAATTTTTAGAGTTACTTTTTTTTTTGTCTTTTTCCTTTTTATCGGTACCAGGGATCAAACAGGACTGCCTGCTTGCAAGGCAGGCACTTATGCTGCTGAGCTAAATCCCCAGCCCCAAAGAATTTTTAAATGAATGTTTGATTTGCCTCCTTGAATACATCTGGATTTTATAGTACAAAGACCAAGATAAAGTACATGGGTATGGTAAGAAAAGGAAACCCGTGGTATATGGGACTGAAAATATTTGCATAAACTAGGTTCTACAATAATCTGAATACAGATGAATACAAATTCCATCTATCAAATACACGGATAAGCCGGGCATGGTGGCTCACGCCTGCAATCCCAGCGCTCGGAAGGCTGAGGCAGGAGGCTCACTGCAAGTTCTAAGCCAGCTTGGGCTACAAAGTGAGTTCAAACAGCCTGAACTGCATAGTGGGACCCTGTCTCAAAAAAGGAGAAAAAATATTGAAATAAACAAATGAAAAAAACCCCCAAAACAACAGCAAAGAATGACAAAATATACTATTGAAGTCAATGTTTTCTGAAAATGTTGACACTGACACTTGATTACCTTAAAATAAAACTACGTTTTTGGGGAGACATTTTCCACATGAAAACTTTCCCTGTGCCACACTGTACTACAGATCTTAGGCACAGTTTGTAGCACAGCACTTTATTTTCTTTTCCATACTGTTTCCCTCTTATCTTCAAAATCATAGTTCCAAAGTTACGGAGTCTCAAGAGTGTCCTGCAGGAGGAAAAGCAAAGGTGACTGCTAGTCCACATCAGCCAGCGTGGGCACTCGGAGCTCTTATTTACTTAATTAGGGCGGTGTGCTGACCTCAGCGGCTGCTCCAGTTCAACACCAATAAAATAATGGAAATGTACACAGCACAGCCACACCCATGCAAAACCTGTTTTATAAAGGAGTAAACGTCATTGAGAGTCTTCAGTTTTTGAGCTAGGAAACTGCGTCATGCTGGTACGCTAATTTATAACAATTAGAAGTTTATGGTCAGAGTGTTGTCTGATGGGATGGGTCATCGCTAAAAGAACCTTAGCTAGTGCTGGTTTTAAAATCTGCTAACCGTTCCAGCTTTCATCTTGTGGCTAAAAACTGATGTAATATTTAATTCCAAGTCCGACAAGGAATTCTCGAGAACCAACTAGTCTCTAAACTACCGTAATGATTGTGATCACTTCTTTCCACGAGTGGCACGTGTGTGCACGTGTGTAACACATTTTGTTGGGAGTTAATATATTGCACAGGCTGGAGACTTGCTCACAATGTACTCTATAAAACACTCTGAGTTTCTGCAATGTCTTAAGAACATTAAAACAGACATTTACTGTCTTTTGTCATACGTGATACAGGACAATGATCCAACTACAACCCTTACTTGCCTAAAAGTTGTCTTATCAAAAAGGTTACCTAAGTCTGGTCCTGTGACCATGACAACAAATTAAAAATGGAAATGCTTAAGCCCCCAAATATGCAAAACGGTTAACTGAAAGAACATCACTTTGATGACAGTTAGAACCATCCATCTCCACAGGCTAAATGTAGAGACAATTGGAAGCCGATGCCGGCATTCGGACGTCCATTGTCATTTGGACAGGTGGCCATAACCTTAGCCAGGGAAGTCAGGGCCTCCGAAGGCTTCTTTTAGGTCTTACATCAGGCTACAAGGAACCCTGGCTTTCAACCAAATCTCCAACGCCAAAAAGCAGAGGTGAAGGGTTAACTTTTTTTTAAAATTTCTTAGAAGCTAAAGTATTTTAAAAAGCAAGGACAGCTCCATCTAGATCACAAAACGGCACTGGGGTGCAAAGCAAATGTGTTCCTAAATGTATCTTGAAATAGACAGTTAGAAAGCTAATATAGTTTGTAGGCTAAATATGTAATTTCTTTCAGAGGCAGAACATATTGCTGGGGGGAGTCCTCTAGCTGAGGGCTTACGGCAGAGTCGCTGAAACATTTTTCCATTTGTTGAATATTCAGTGTTGGGGAATATTATTCAGTAGACCCGGAGAGAAGTCCTAAATTGGAAAAGCAGCTGAGTCCAAGGTCATCTCTCTTGTTTCCAAATATATCTTGAAACAAATGCAAGAAGGGCACTTTGCTGAGTGTTATCTGGACATATATAGTTTCAATCAAATTCTTCAAGAAGTGTCAGAATAAATGCTGAACATTTGTTTGACATGGCCAAGTCGCCGGCAAGTGGGTCTCTCAAGGGTTCAGCGTCTCCTTGGCAGCTTTGCTAATTTTTTACACTAAAACCTCTTCTCGCACTCATGAGAAAAAAGAAATCCACCAGTGAAACACCAACTTTGAATTTTTTCTCACATTTTTTTAAAATATAGGAAATCACATAAACTTATAAAAATGTCTCCCAACAAAAATAACTCTTTAAAATATTCTTTCCTCGGCTAAATTTCTTGGAATTATCAAATCTTTTTCAAAAATTCAAAAATGTTACATGTACCAAAAAAAGGTGCTGGTACAGATGATGCAGCGCTAGGAAAGGAACAATATGCTGAATCTTAGAATTACTGTCAAAAAGTACTCCCCAATAAATACCTGTCAATAAATACCTGGCTTGCTGCCTCTACTGTTGTCTGTCGTAAAAAATACAACCCAAACTAAGTCCATGACGGTAGTCGTCCATGGAGACAATCATTTATCATTCTCTACATGTTAGGGAATCGTCCCCAAGGAAGCAGGGACAGTAAGAATTCGGATCATTCTAGACCAACAAGATGCAAACTGCGCCAACTTGAAACCTCAGCGCTCTGGTTTCCAGGGTCTTCCCAGTCGGGCCTGGCTCATGCCGCATGGTGATCCTTTCTTGGGGTTCTTCTTTTCCACAGGGCTTCTGCCCTCCCGAGTCAGATGCCATCCGTGTTTCCTGAAGCATCTTAACCTGGCCTCTGTCCTCCAGCCTATCTGTGACATGAGTCCTCAGAGATCCTCAACTCCAGCCAGGTGACAGTGCCTCTGCGCTGCACGCGCCATAAGGAAACAAAGGCTGTGACAGCACAAGAAGGTGAGGAAGTCTTCATGGAGCTGATTTTGGAGAAACTGAGGCTCATTAAACAAACAAACAAATGCCCAAGTACGTCCGCTTGCTGGCCTTCTGACCCAGCACGGGGAGCCGCTCTAACTGCCCGCTGCACTTCTACCCGGATTCCGGGACTCCGTGCTCCTTCACAGTGGTAGCCCGGTCTCCTCCTGCAGTGTCAGCTTCATGCAGAGCTGGAGAGAGGAGAGGCGGGCCGTGACCAGTCCTACACGCCCCTCCTCTATCCACGTCCTCACCATCCAGCCAGCACTGGGCCAACCCTTACCTCTTCATGAAGCCTCCGCGACATTTCCTTGACCTCCTGGTCTTCTCTAGATCCCTGTTTGGTTTGAGACGGGTGTCACTATGTTGGTATCACTATGTTTTCCAGGTGTGTGTTAAATACCCTGCATCAAGAGATGCTTCTGTTTCAGCCACCCACATGCTGGATGACAGGTGTGCACCATCGTGCCTGGTCTAAGCTTGACCTTCAGTGGCACCAGGATACTTAGCACTTGTGATGAGGTGCCATAGGTTTACTGTAACATCCTGCAGGTCTGGTTAACGATGAGGTCAACCTTGTCACAGTCTAGTTCAGTGTCTGGTGCATTAAATGGCAGTAGTCACCACCCTCTTTACCCACAGGGGTATTTCTGGATCCCTGTGCGTCCTAAGGCGGTACCGATCCCTATATTCAGGGAATGTTCTCTTCTATACATGCATATGTCACGATAAAGTTTAACTTACAAATTCAGCACGGTAAGAGACACAGAATAATTAGACTGTAATAAAAGTTACTTGAAACTTAGGAATTCTTTCTGGAATTTTCCACTGTTATTTTGGGACTACAGTTGACTGAAGGTAACAGAAACCCCAGCAGGAGAAACTGTGGCCCTGGCAGGGCCGCTGCAGAGGGCTGCAGAGGAACAGGGGCAGGGGCTGCTGCCCGGCCGGCTGCACACCTGGCCCACACTCAGCCTCGGACAGCCCCACAGCCTCGGTCAGCGCCGAGCGAGCGCCGCCTCCTCTCTCTGCCTGTCCAGATCTCACCGCGTCCTCCCAAGTCCACCCCGGGCTCGCGGCCTCCATAGGTCTTCCTTCAACCTCCTATTTCAAAATTAAATGCTTCTTCCTCTCATTTCCCTGTCCTTTACATATATACCGCATTTTTTTCTCTCTTCACGACATCTGAATTTTCTAGACTAAGGATGCTGAGAGCAAAAACCAGGTCATGTTAATTTTATACTTTTGAATTTAGTCCAGTGTCAGGCACACAAAACATAATAAAGATGTGGATATAAATAAAAGGGCCTTTTGGCATTTTCATTGAGATGGGTAAGAAATGTTTATAAGCGACAACAGATTCTAGATTTACCCAAATTAAATTTTATGATCTTGATATTTTATTGTATTTCTATCTTTAGGTATCATTACAGAATTGTTCCTAAATGAAAAACTGAATTTGATTTATATATTCAAAGGAGACATGATTTTATCACCACAACGGACCTCAGATATTTAAATTATAACTTAAAAGGCTTCAGTTTGTTCTGTATCTAAACCTATTACTTCTTTCACGTTTTTATCTGGCATTCATTTTCAGTGTTGGCCTGGACGTGGTGGCCCATGCCTGAGGCAGGAGGATCACGGAGAGTTTGAGGCCAGCCGCAACTGCATAGAGGGACCTTGTCTGAAAAAGACCAGCCAACCAGCAAACAAAACCCAAAATCAAAAGCAACCAAACAACACAATTTTCAGTACAATTTCTTCATCTGGTTGATATAGCTTTTCTTTTCTTTTTTAATACAGTTTACTTTTAATCATTTAGTAATGGGTACCGGGGATCCAACTCTCGACTGCACGCTTGTAAGGCAGGCGCTTATGCCACTGAGCTAAATCCCAGCCCAGATACTATGTTTATAACAAGTACCAAAAATGATTTCATGCCATCATGCTCATCATGGTCATCAACCTGCTTGCAAGTATACACCTAGTACATGCACAGATCACACGGGTTCTGGACCGGGGCTCTGCCCGGTCTTGGCCTGTGTAGTACTGTGGAAGCCTCCCTGTGCTTCACAGTTTCCTCATCTATAAAATGGGTCCTTCATAGAGCTCTTATGAGAACGCAGCTTCCAGCGCCGTGCATGAGCTCCAGGCACTTAAGATGGTGCCTGGCACGTACTGAAGGCTCAGTAAAGGGCGGTGGCTTTATCACCATCACCACCTTTCCAGAGCCTCAGGGAGGACAATTCAAAAGTTAAATCTGGCTTTGAATAACTGATGTTTTAAGGAAGTCCTTACTCTGTGTGCCACTTTGCTCTCAGAACCAAGCACCAACCAGGCCGTGCTCTCTAACAAGGCCAGCCAAGCTGCCCAGCACCCAGCGGTGACGCACTGCCAACCATCACTGAGTATTTCTGAGCTTATCGTGCGTAGCAAGATGTCCCCTCCCCATGAACACACCGCTACTCTCAGAGCTCGGGTGCAAACTCAGACTTTCACTCAAAAAAAGACCTTGGAATTTTTTCCTGTCCTCTCACTAGTGAATTTCCACCGCAGGCAACCGGGGCTGGTGACTCCAGCCGCTCGGGCCTCCAAGAAGGTGCCACCCATCTGCCTAAAGGGGGAGCCCGTGAGCAACCGGCGAGCTGGGCAGGCCGCACAAGAACACGGGTCAGGCTCTGGGTTTACCTTTTGGTCTCTTTCTTTTTTCCTTTTGGTCTCTTTAGGAGGATGGGGTGGGGCTAACTCACAATCACAGTCAACTTTCCCTTTTTAAGATTGCCTAAGGTCAGGAGAGTGGAAGACAAAAAATACAGTTAATTTTAATGATCCCTCTGGAAGATCCCGGGGCAAAACACTCCCACCAAACAGCTCTAATTAAAGCTCCCGTTAGGAAGAGGGCGAGGCGAAGCCTGTGTGAACAGAGAAAGTCACATAGTCAATGCAGGTGCGGCTTGATTTTTTTTTTTCTAAAAAAGAAGGCTCAATCATATACGTACACGATAGATCTTAGCTTGCTGCAACAACAGAGAAAATAGGGACGCAACCCAGTTTAAGGAAGCTGATCATCATCTCCGAGGGCTAACTGCTGCCTTACCGCAAGCCAAAGGCAGGAGGGAAGCCCCAGACCCTTGGGAGAAACCAGTCTCTATCCGCATTCTCCTCGCTAGGCAGGGTGACTGCCTGCCGAAGACAGGTGTGTACGAGGGGCCACCTGCGCAGAAGTCACCTTCTTTTCCAGACAGGGCTGGCTACGTTGTCAGGTAACCTCAGACTCACGGCGATGCGCTCGCCTCCGCCTGCCCAGTCTCGCCGGGGTTACAGGCGACGCATGGCACCCAGACCCAGCCACAGCCATGTTTCCATGGAAGCTCTGCTTTTGCTTTTGTAATGCCGGCTTTAGCAAGTTACTCATTTGTGCGTATTTTCGAATTCGATTCCTGCTAGCTCGCACATTTTCAGTATGAGCACATATTCAGCCTCGTATTTTACTTGAGTGATCAAAAATGCTTATATCCATTTAGCTTAAAAATTTAAGAAACACACTCTGATAATTTACAGAGCTTAAAGTTTCCAAAGAGCCAGGCGTGGTGGTGCTGAGAAGGCTGAAGCATGAGGATGACTGCAAATTCAAGGCCCACCTAGATTACACAGGAAGAGCCTGTCTCCCCTCCCCCCCAACAGTTAAGCAGAACAATACATTTGCATTTCTTTGATAGGTTAATTAAATGACCTTTAGCATTGTTGCCTATTAAATTAGTATAAAATAATACCATTAATCTACAGAAGAAGCTAGGTCTGCAATTTGTGTTTGAACAATATTCTAAGACCTTTTGGTCTACTCCCAGACTCGGACAGTCCATGACCCTGAATTACCCACTAATGGATCTGTAATAGGAAGTGCTTCATCCTACTAGAAGATTCTGCTTAGAGGGCAACCTTTCAAGCTGGATGGTTTCCTGAACCAGCAGGGAACAGGAGGAGCAGTCCTGGGCCACGGTTGGCAGCACCCAGCCCTAAAGAGAAGGAAATCCATGCGCACAGAGGCAGTTTCACAGGCTACATTTTTCTCCTTTATTTGGGCCATCATGTGGAAGATAGATTATTTTCTAAAACGATTAAGTAATTCATCAATTAGCCAGCTAGAGAATTAATCCTAAGGAAAAACGTAATAAGCTCTTCTTCCAGAAGTGCCAGCTGTCAGAAACTGTCAGGCTCAGTCAAAGCTCCCTGATGTCCCCACCAAGGCACGCAGTGAGTGGAAAGTCACTGCGTGAAACCCATTAGGCTGCGTCGCTAGATGTCCAATGTTACATAAAAACTATAAATAGCTTTGTACTTTGGGGTGTTTTTTCAATTTGCTTCCCTTGAAGTAATAATGATGTTCTGCTTCAGTTAATAAAGTAATTTAGGAGCTGTCTTTGTGTTTAATCCACATACTGTCTCTGTGTAGAATAAAAATGGTAAGTAATAATCAAATCAGTAGAATCCTAAGCATTCCTTGGAATCTCTGCCATTAATAATTTTAAAGCTTAAGGGGTGTACTGCTTAAAAACATTACTAGACTCAATAATCTTGTGAGCTTACTTTTTTGGGAGGAATAAAACACAGCTTCTGTAAAAGGCATCTAGTCTTTCACCTATTTGCAAAGGAATTTATATTCTGGTTAATGAAGCATCACTTACTCCTGGCTTAAAAATAGCCAGCGCTGCACAGTTGTTTCTACCCAGTCTAGAAGCCGCTGCCGAATAAAAGTGCTGGTGTCCTTGCACGGCCTTCTTTAGCTTGCGGCTGACACCAGTGAAGGCCAAACGAGACACTGATGGCTGATGCCCGGCCACACAGAAGGATGGACAAAGCAGAGGGCCAGGTCACAAACACCAAAATGTTTTTTTTTTCCTTAAAATTTTAAAGAAGTTTGTTTCTAGACTTTCCTGCTAAGAACAATTCTTCCTAGGTCTGATGAAACCATCTCTTCTTGCTCCAGCTGTTGGATTAGAGAATAATCTCTAGACAAAATTTCTTTTAGATTTTTTTTTTTTTTTTTGTCTTTTTCTTTTTAATCGGTACTGGGAATCGAACTCACGACCGCCTGCTTGCAAGGCAGGTACTTATGCCGCTGAGCTAAATCCCCAGCCCTTAGACAAAATTTCTATATCAAAAACAAAACAAACAAAACAAAACAGAAACCCCAAAGAGCAGATTATACTTGGGAGCAAAGAGATCCAAGTTTGCATATTTTTCACAAAGTAAAACCAACTTTTTTGGCCAGGAATCTAGCTCAGTGGCATAAGCACCTGCCTGGCAAGTGAAAGGTTGTGAGTTTGATCCTCAGTACCTAAAAACAAAAAACTTTTCTTCATTAAAAGAAAATTTTATAAAGAACAGCTAAAAAGCCATGCTACAGCCTGAGCTACAAAGCCTGAACTACATAGTGAGACTCTGTCTCAAAAAGACAAAACAAATAAATAAAGCCATGCTAACAATTTGAAATCTGAGGCTTTTTGTTTTTTTTTTTTTTTTTTTTTTGAGACGAGGTCTCGCTATGCAGGTCAGGCTGGCCTTGAGCTCACTTTGTAGCCCAGGCTGGTCTCAAACTCGCAACGATCCTCCTACCTCAGCCTCCAGTGAAATCTGAGTTTTTAAGTCTAAAAGCAAGATATTTTGAAAAGTATGCTGAATAGAAAATATAGTATCTATTTTTTTAAAGGAAAACCAAAGAAGTCTTCAAGTATGCTGTACCAAAGATGCCAACTGAAGCCCTCTGGATTCTACTTGAAATCTTATGCTAACTTTTAGCATATGGTAACATCTATTTTGTTTTTTATTTTTTTTTCCAGCTTTCCTGTGGGATTTTTTTTTATTTTTATTTTTTATTTTTATTTGGTAACATCTGTTTTATAGCCATTTTTATATTAACAGTCTCGAAGACTATCCAGTTATTTTTTTCTTGTTTTTTGGTTTTTGATACCTGGGATCAAACTCATAACCTTGTAATTGCTAGGCAGGCACTTGTACTGTTGAGCTATATCCCTGGCTCCCTGTCTAGTTACTATATTATTATTAAATCTAATAGGTTTTTGGTGGCAATCAAGAGATAATATTTTAATATATTATTAGAATGTGAGTACTAATTTTTTTATGAGTACTTATTTTAAACAAAAATTTTGACACAAGACAACTATACAACTTTAAATAGCCATGATGTATGCACCAAGTTTTATTATCTTTAAATTATACAAACAGAACAAGTATGCTATCCAAAATATTAAATTTTCTTGCATTTTACAAAAGAAAAAGAAACTGAAGTGAAATTGTAGGAATGCTAACCTTCAGATAAATGTTTCTTCAAAACAAGAGGTATTAGTTCCTAAAAGATTCCTCTAAAGTTAAAAAAAGATTAAGAAAAACATTAAGCTAATGGGTTACTACAACCACAAAAATACATGTTTTTAATGGACATATGTTTACTTTTAGAGATAGTAAACTTAGTCTGTCTCATAAAACTCAAAAGACACCAGTGATGTCTAATGAAGCACTACAGTAAAGCTTCTTTTCCATAGCAAAGCAACTTTAAAACCAAATCTAACTTTCTTTTCCAAGAAAACAAAGGATGACTAGTGGGAAAGGAACACACTGCAGAAGTCACTCAGAAGCAAAGAAACACATGACGGGCTTCGCTCACGGCTAGTGACATGGACTAAGACCCATCGGTGCCACACGGACTCACAGTATCAGCCGGTCCTCGCCTCCCTCCTGAATTACCTGGCCGATGGAGGCCGGGCTTTGTTGTTTCAGAAAGCACTGCTTCTTGCATTCCATCAGTCTTTCCAAATCACGCCACATCTTTGCTTGTTTCATGTTAGGGCCATGACTCTCTCGTACAGCTTTTTGCTTTTCCCGGAGTTTCTATCGTAAGAAAATACCAAGAATAATTAAATCTCAGTGACACGGATTTTCTTCTATTGCTATGAGTAAGAGAAACATGATGTGTTTTGTACATTCACTGAGTAATATAGTTCAGTAACCAGGTTTTCCTGTAATGTGTCAAAATTAAGATTATAAAAGTTAAATAAGTTTAAGATAGATGGAGGACAACTGAAGTGAAGACAGAACAATATAAAAAGGGAGGGAAGAAATTAAAGAAATCAAGAAAGCAGCATGGCATTAGGGGGAGAACGCAGATCTGGGAAGTTAAATGACTGGGTTTGCCACCAGCGGCTAAGCGAGGGACAGAAGCTCTCTGGACCTCGGTGGGGTTTGTTTTCTTTTTTTTTTTTTCCCCTTCAAATCTGTTTTATTTCAAATAGAAAAAAAAACCCTAAAAATTTCAAAACACATCAATCAGAGGGCAGTAACAGTACATACACTGCGCACTGGCACCCCCAAATCAGTCACCCAGAGCACAAGACATGTGCCTTGAATGGTCTGAACAAAACCAGCACAGATCTTTCTCTTCAGTGAACTCAGAGAAATTGGTAGTGCAACTACCTTAACGATATATATATATATATATATATATATATATATCGCACACACACACACATGCAAGTTGTTTCTTTCAGCCTGTCACACTAGTGAGACAACACGACATGCACATGTATGTCTGACTTCACTTAGGAGTATGCAGACCTCAGTGTTTTCAACTGCCAACGACAATAAAGGGGATGAGAAAGTATCTGTCTTACAAGGTTTTTTTTTTGTAGTACTGAGGCTTGAACCCAGGGCGCTGCACTGAGCTATAAGCCCAGCCTGCGTTTAGGTTCATCTGTCCATGTCCGCAGTGCGCAGTTATTGCCTGCACCGTGAGCAGCTGGTACCCGGACATAACACGTTTTAATTCTTTTTATGTCCCCTTCCCTTCCCTTCTCTCCCAGCTGCACATTTTCTCCCACTCTCCTTCCCATATTTTTATTTTTTATTTTGAGACAGGATCTTGTTAAGTTGCTAAACTGCCCAGGCTAGGCTTGAATTTGTGATCTTCCTGCCTGTCTCCCAGAGTGATGAGAGTGCACGCACAGGCCACCAGCCTAGGCTTATGTTTTCACATGACAGAAGATATGGAAATTCTTGATAAACTATCATGTGTTATGTATAATATTAATATTATTTAACGTTGTCTTCTACCTGGAAACAGCGCATGCTTTGTGAATATTCAGATAAACCAAATTATGCATTTATTCCTCAGGCAGAAGATCCAGTTATTTTAATAAAGGTCTAACATTTACAGCTAGGCATAGCGGCCCACAGCTGTAATCTCAGCACTCAGCAGGCTGAAGCAGGAGGATTGCAGGAGTTCAAGACCAGCTTGGAGGGGCTGGGGATTTAGCTCAGCGGCATAAGTGCCTGCCTTGGAAGCAGGCAGTCGTGAGTTCGATCCCCGGTACCGATAAAAAGGAAAAAGACAAAAAAAAAAAAAAAAAAAAAAAAAAGACCAGCTTGGATTACACAGTGAGATCCTAGCTCAAAAATAAACCCTCAAACAAACACAAACAACCTATACAGGTCCACCTACCAGAACCACCTTATCTCCTGAATCCAAACTACAAACACAAGTACAAAGCATTTCGATGAATTGCAGAAATATGCTCTGATTCAATCTTATGGAAAATGGAAGAAGGCTGACTAAGAGGAAGGGTTGGCATAAAGTCAAAGACAGTGAGAGACACGGTGGAAAGAGAAGGAGAGACAACAAGAGCAGATAAAGAGCCGGGAGTACAGCTCCGCGGCGCAGCGCCTGCCTGGCAAGTGCACGGTCCTAAGTTTGATTCAGGATACCAAAAAAAGAAGAAAGAAATTAAGTCAATTATAGATAATCATACCAAATCCTAAAGATCTACAAATCGCAAGTTAATATTCTGTACAAAGGACGCTCTGTCATTGGATTCAAATACACACTTTCAAACCTGAAAATTATAACTATTTTGAGTATGGCATGTCATCTTAAGAAGGAATTGGGCACATGAACTCACAGGTTTCCAGATAAATGTAGGAATAATTTCCTTTTTTTTTTACTTTTACTAACGTAATAGCCATTTATTCACAAATCACAAAGAAAAAATAGCTAAATATTTTTTATGGAACTGGCTGACTCTAAGTTTGGGATAGAAAACATATAGGATAAGCCTGGAGTATTTTGTCATATAAATAAAAGAAGTCATCAAAGTCTAAAAGCATGATTTCATAAAATGGATTTGAAAAAAAATAATAAAATAAAAAAATAGGGGAAAATAAAAGCATTATTTCTACAAGGTTAAGAAACTGACTTCTAGAGGCAAAGATGAGACAATCTGAGCTCTGACAGGAATAATTTATTGTAATACGGAGAAACTATCTGAAAGCCAGTAAATAAGCAATTCATCAGTTCTTTGCCTTTCTTGTATGAACTTCTTGGTAACTAGGTGATAAAGATAGGCTGGTTTTGTTTTTCTGTTTTTTGAGACAAGGCCTCATGATACAGCCTAGATTGGCCTCAAACTTACGATCTCTTGCTCCAGTCTCCCGAGGGCAGGAATTATAGAAGTGTGTCACCATGCCCAGTGGACTAGCTGCTCTTTATAGAATTACTTTAGCCAAGAAATGAAGAAGGCACATATTTAGAATGTCATCATTTTATCACCCCAAGTGAGTTGCAGATTTAGGAGACGATTATCAGCAGATGCCTAGATCACAAAGAGAAAGCCTCCTAACAGATCCCGACTATTAACCGTGAAGTATTACGGTCATACATCAAAAACATGCAACAAAGTCTCAGTCTCTACCTACCAGTTGAGAGTTTACAGACAAACATGTCAGCGGACACCACAGGGATGTGATCAGCACAGCTCAGAAGCTGTAAACCCTTTAGGACAAATGACTAGATTATTTTGCCTTCCAGTAAGTAAATTACAAGGAAAAATGATGGAGGAGTAATTTAAGAAAAGAAGGAAACAATGTATCAACAATAAGGATGTATGGACTTTTATCAGGTCCTAATCCAAACACATAACCTAGGACTGACTGTGAGGTCAGAGGTGAAGTCTGAACATGAGTTGACTTTGGGGACTACGCCATCATTCTTGGATCACTTTTGCTATACATGGTTACCTTCAAAAGAAGTCTACGACAGACACTGAAGTAGGACCAGGTAAAATAATCTGGAATATGTGATGTGAGACAATGTAAAACAAGTCCGGCATGAATTTAATCACTGAAGGTGAGTGATGGGCACATATGGATTCACTACATTGTTTTCTTTGCTTTTTATATATTTAAAATTTCTCCTAATAAAAAATAGTTTTGGGAGTGGGCACCACTGTGTGTGCCTATAATTCCAGTTACTCAAGCAGCCGAGGTGGGCGGTTTGTGACTTTGAGGCCTCTGTGGGCAATTTAGCAAGACACTGCCTTCACAGCATCTCTTTTTTAAGCTGGAGGGCCCACTCCCTTCTGTAGTGACCGCTCTGCTATATGATACACCACTTGTTATTCTGAAGGTCAGCTCTAGAATGTTACTTTGGACTTGTATGAACTAATTCAGTTTTTATATAAAAGCACAGATGCATGTATGTTTTAAAATAATTCAAATCAGAAAATGAAAATTAGGATGGAGAATCTTGCTGTCAACAACTTACTGAGTCAGGCCAATAGCTAAACTACAAACGTACTGTGTTTGAAACAAAGCCATATTTTTCACTTGCACTTTATTTACAGTGACATTAGACTCCCATATACGAAGAAAAACCATAGCTCAACTATCTATCCCTAAGTGTGATGCTACAAACTTCATAGTTCCATTAGAAAATCTAATAAAAAACACTTTTTTTTTTTTTTTGAAATAGGGTCTTGCTATGTAGTTCAGAGTGAGGCTCAGAGTTCAGACTCACTATGTAGCCCAGCTACGTGACCCTCCTGCCTCAGCCCCCTCAGGGCTGGCACTACAGGTGTATGCTATCATGCCCAGCCTCTAACTACCCTAAAGAAGAAACTTAGAGATTTATCACTAATAGCAATATATGGATTCTTACTAAGATCCTGATTGAAATAAACCATTAAAAATTATGAGACAAATGGTGAGGTTCCAGTACTGAAGGGACAGTTAAACAGCAAAAGTGGGGTTCGATGAGTGGCTGGCCTCAGCACTTAGGATGGCCTCAAGCTCACCTTGGCAATTTAATTTTCTTTTCCAGACAGGGTCTCACAGTGTCACTCAGGCTCACTCTGAACGCATTCCGTAGCCCCGGCTGGCCTCAGGCTTGCGACTACCCTGCCGCCTCAGCTTCCCGAATGTCCAGACCCCAGGCATGTGTCACCATGCCTGGCAGGCAATTTAAACTTTAGATTTCTCATGTTTTCCATTTCAGTTTAAATATGAAGAAGTGCTAAGGAGCTAGTTCAGAATCTCAAGACTTGGGACTGAGGCTGGGGTTGGCTGGTTATCTCGTCATCTTTTCTCTGAATTGCTGATAAACACAAGTTTTCCTCCTTTCTCAAGAACAACAGAGCTGGTGTCTTTAAAATCTTTTTTTTTTTTTTTTTTTTTGTTCCCAGGATCGAACTCATGACCTTGAGCTTGCCAGGCAGACACTTATGCCACTGAGCTAACTCCCTGCCCTGGTGTCTTTAAAATAATTGTCCCAGTGCGTCCATCACGTCATGAAGTCAGTGCTCAGCCAGTCTTGTAGTCCCCAGGCCAGAGGTCTTACCGGTCACGCCCTCTCCCACCTTTGCAGCTAAGCAGGAAGGGAGGGTCCTGGGTGTCCCCAGAAGTCTCCATGGTAAAGGCTCCGTGCCCACAGCAATTTAGGGCACAGGCACCGGTGCAGATGCTCACGCAAGTACTTGGGCCTGCCCCAGGACACCACCTCTCCTCCCCAACTCTGCCCTAGCTTGGGAAGTAAGCAGCTTGCTCTGCCCCGTCGGCTCCGTGCTGCCATGGTCCTGCACTCGCCAGAGGTCAAACAGCGGCACTGCCTGATGAGGGCTGGAGCCTCTGAACCACCATACAGTGAACCTTTCTAAGGTTATGGCTTCAGGTGTTCTGATACAGCAGCAGGAAACTCACATCACATCTGTTTCTGTGCTGGCATAGCAACAGAAAACTACAACGTAAAGTTTTCAATTATTATTTTTCAATTTAAGTTTGTTGGTATAATTCAGGCATATATAGTGACCACATTCATCACAGGGACTCTGTACCTTAAATGATAGACCTTGATTTGCCTTTTTCCCTCCCATGCCCTTTCCCACCTTTCAACCCCTCTTCCCCTCTTTATTTGCAAAGCTTTTCCCTTTTCTCATTTTTTCTTTTCCCTTCCTTTCTTTCCCTCTCCCGCTTTCAATTATTTATATTAAATGAATCAATATTGTAAGAGGGCTTAAACCCGTGCCTAAATCATAGTTAAAGCTTTATCTTTATTAAATAAAGAATAAATTTATTCATGTTTTGAAATCAGAGATACATGAGAATAGCCTTTATTTATTTATTTTGTCTTTTTCCTTTTTATCGGTACCAGGGATCGAACTCACGACTGCCTGCTTGCAAGGCAGGCACTTATGCCGCTGAGATAAATCCCCAGCCCCGGGAATAGTCTTTAACTTACAGCATAGAACTCTGCTGTTTAGAACAGCAGATTTCTTTCTAACCCACTGCAGGGCCGGGGCTGTGGCACAGGCAGAGCACCTGCCCGGCACACATGAGGCCCCTGGCTTGATTCCTAGTGCTGTCAAGGACTTTCCTCTTTTTTGTGGTTTTTCCCTTTGGTTCTGGAGATCAGAACCAAATGCATGCTAACCAAGTGCTCTGTCACTGAGCTACACTCACAGTCCCTAAATTTCTAAGAAATGATCATCTTCGAAAAGAAAAAACTGTATTATAACCTTTTAAAAAGAATGATAACAACATAACCATAAAATCCTGAATTAGACATATTTTAAAATAAAGAATTCTTACCTTTCCAAGGTTTTCTTGTTCTGCAATAATTTTGGTGTATTGTTCCCTAGGGAGTCAATAAAATGATTTAGTTTCAATTTATTTCAATTGATTTAATCATTAAACTAAATTATACATTAATATATCTAAGTATATTAGGCAATATATTTTAGGATACTGGAAATCAGAATGAAATCTACTATCAAATTCTTTTTGTCCTTTTCCATCTTTAGTCAGTGCTTCCAGTAAAGAATAATTTAGACAAAAAAGAGAAGTCAAAACACTGCATTGAAAATTAAAGAGAAGATGGGGATTTAGCTCAGCAGCATAAGTGCCTGCCTTGCAAGCAGGCATTCGTGAGTTCGATCCCTGGTACCAATAAAAACGAAAAAGACCAAAAAAAAAAAAAAAAAAAAAGTGCAGAGTGCATTTTTACTCAACTGTTCTTGTAGGAAAAAACAAAAAAACAAAACAAAAAAAAAAAAAAAAAAGAAAAAGAAATAAAATGTTAAGTACTATTTTGTTTTGTTTTGTTTTTTTCTTTTTTGAGACAAGGTCTCACTATGTAATGATCTGAAACTCACTGTGGAGCCCAGGCTGGCCTCAAAGTCAGTGATCCTCTGGCATCAACCTCCTGAGTGCTGGGATTACAGGCATGTGCTACTACACCCAGCTAAACATTTTATTTTATTTAGTTACTTGTTTTTGGTACTGGAAATCGAACCCAGTATCTTGTACTTTCCAGGCAGGCATTTATGCCTCTGAGTTATATCCCCAGTCCCAGCTAAACATTTTAAATAAGACCTAATTTTGCAATTCTACTTCAAGGAATTCATACAAAGAAATAATCCCTCACAATATAATAAATATTTAAGCAAACACTGTTCATCAATGTGAATAGCAAAAATCTGCAAACTAAATAAATGTCTAAAGATGGAGAGATGTTTAATTATGGTATATCCATTCAAAAGAATAATACAGAATTGTTTAAAAAATGAAGTAGATCTACAAATATAGAAGTGGAATTTTAGACTTGGGGGGGGTTACTGGGAATTTAACTCAGGACACCATGCGTGCACTGTGCCACTAAGCTAGATCCCTGGCCACTAGATACGTCATTAAAAGAAAGTTACATACATGGCTTAGTCTTACCTTTCTATATACATGTGTATGAACACACACACACACAATTTCCCATGCATTGCTAACAGGCATACGCAGAGATGTGCGGATGGGTATTAGCACACACACGGGGAAGAACAAGCTGTAGTGCACGCTGAGGGGTTAACTGTAGGCGTTCAATCTCAGGGTGCACTACTGTGTGTTTTTCTCTTTTTTTTTGTTTGTCTTTTTCTTTTTTATTGGTACCGGGGATCGAACTCACGACTGCCTGCTTGCAAGGCAGGCGCTTATTATGCCGCTGAGCTAAATTCCCAGCCCCTACTCTGTGTTTTTCTAAGGATTCCTTCTGTAAGCTAAAAATCCCTGTGAGTTTTAATGTAAAAATAAGAAACACATAACGTTGAATTTTGTTCTTTAAATAAAAGCATGTTTTCATAATGCACAAGACACAAGTGAGACTGAATGCTGGTGACAGGTAATGACCAAGTCTGAAGGATGAGGTCACAGGAATAAATGACAAAAAGTGTAAGAGAGATTTCAGACTTTCTACTTAAGTGTAAACACATTTTTTTTTTCCTCTGTAAAACTACACTGTAACAGTTAAGAATGATAAAAGGACAGAAAATTGGGAACTAAGAAAACAGTACAGGGAAAACACAGCAGTGTAGCACAGCGATCTCTCTGCTGACAACTCAGGCCCCCCCAGAGCGGAAGAGAGGGTAGAATCTGCACAGGGATGAAGAACAAACATGGTCCCGATGAATCTTCATTCTGTAGACGCTAAGTCAAACTTCTTGCCTTTCCACTTTTTCAAAGAAAAACAAGCAGGAGGGTGTAAACTAACTTATTACTCAAGAAGAATGCATGACTATAGCTCGGACACCTTGATGTAATACATTTATTATCCTAGGCCTGACAATTGTCCAAATGGAGCATTTTCATTTACATAAAAATCTCTTGTGAAAGCAACGAGAGCCAGGCATGGTGGTGCATAGTGGCATACATCTGTAATCCCAGCACTTGGGAGGCTGAGGCAGGAGGATAACTGTGAATTTGAGGCCAGCCTGGACTACAGTGAGTTCAAGGCCAGCCTGAACTATGCGGCAAGACCTTGTTTAAAAAACAAAACAAAATACAACACTACAACAGAAATCAAAGATCACAGCGCACTTGTTATTTTCCATATATGGTCTGTGTTTCAAATAAAAACCAGACAAAGGCCTCTGACCTCCAGAAGCTCATGCTAGATTAAAAAAAAAAAAAAAAAAAAAAAAGACAAAACACTGCTGCACACATTGTATTTCACTGTTCTCCTTATATTATAGATGATGAAGTGATTTGTTCAAGGTCAACAAACATTCAAGTTTATTCTAACCTGAAAAGTCCAGGTTAGAGCAAAGTTTTAGGTCTTTCTTTAGGACTCTGAACTATCCCTCTTTAAATAAACTTTAAAATTTGTAGATAATCTTTTATTTATTTACTTATTTATTTTAAATAATCTTTTAAAATCATGATAATTTCTTTTTTCTAGTGGTACTGGGGATTGAACCCAGGCTTTTGAGCTGAGCTGACCCTGTCCTTTTATGGTTTTTTATTTTGAAGCAGGGTCTTGCCAAGTTGCTAAATTGCCTAGGCGAGGCTTGGACTTGCCATCCTCCTGCATCAGCCTGTCTGAGTGCCAGGATTATTGGCATGTGCTACCCCAAACTAATTTCTGATATCTTTGGGTTTATGAGAAAAAACTGTAAGAGCTGAAAATGAGATACTAATAAAATATTGTTGATAATAATAATTTAAATATGTATCCATGAGTTTAATCAACTCCATTTTTACCCATAATTTCTTATCACGGCACAATATTTCTCCACAGAAAAACCCGGGAAAGGTAAAACTTCACAGTGACCTTTTCTTTTTAAGGTAGTGTCATGTTATGTAATTCAGGCTGGCCCTGCACTCACTGCAATTCCACTGCTTTGGTTTCCTAGGTGCTGGCATTACAGGTGTGTACCCACGATGGCTGTAATGATTTTTAAGTGACAACATCTTGCTGGAAAAAATGATCATAAAATAAATAGTTCAGGAGCAATTATTTCCTTCTTTACTTTTTAGACTGGTAATGTCAGAAGAAATTGAACTTAATTTCTATTTGTTTGTCTTTTTGAGACGCTTACTGTGTAGTTCAGGTAGGCCTCAAACTCGCAGCAATCCTCCTGCCTCCGCCTACCAACAGCTGGAATTGCGGAGGTGTGTCGCCACACCCAGCTGGAATTTAATTACTAAAATATTTTTTTTTCCATTTTCCTTTTTTTTTTTTTTTTTTTTTGAGAGGAACTTAATTTCTAAATTTTTTTTAGGCAGGGTCTTGCTATATAGGTCAGGATGGTCTTGAACTATGGCAATCCTCCTGCCTCCTCCAGAGGGCTGGGCTTATAGACTTGCACAGCCATGCCTGGCAAACTTTTTTATTTTTGAATAAGAAACTTAACTATTCTCACTTCTTAGCATTGACTATATATTTTTGTAAGAGCGAAGTTTATATGCTTTGAAAGAATCTAAGGACATTTTTAGTTTAATATGTGAGAGTATATATCAGAAAAAACATGGTTCCATTTATAGAATATTTTCAATCTGGCTTGCGTTGCAGTGAATTACATATTTCTTAAAGATTCAGACTCTGCAAGATGCCCTATTTCTCGGATTTCTTTTTCTACCATTATCAATACGCATGCCACCCTTAACCTCAAATGCAGTCTCCTGTATATACACATCTTATTCTTTCTTACTGGGTGGTGAAAGCAAAACATCTGAATTGTGAAGGACAAAGAAAGCTTATCTTATTCAATTATTGCATTTTATTTTATAGCTAGCAATATTTTTTTTCCAGTTCTGGAGGTTGAATCCAGGGTTTTCACACTGAGCTACATTCCCAGCCCTTTTTATTTTCAGATCTTTAGCAGCTGCTAAGATGCCCAGGGCTGGGTTTGAACCCACAATTCTTCTGCTTCAGGGTATCCAGAGTCCTGGAATTACAGGCATGTGTCACCACTAGCGAATTGATTATTTAATTTTTAAAGCTGGATTTGATTTATTACAGCATGCCACAAGCTAGGTTACAAAAAAAAATCCCCATATAAGGACTAGGCAGTATTTGCACACTCTCCTCTGTTGGAGGCCAGCACACTGCATTATCACATAGTTTCTAGCAAAAAATGCAGTCATCTCACTGCAGTTAGCACGGAGGGCTTTAAAGAGAGGCTGCTGCTAGAGTTTATAAAATTACACATATTCTGGGGAAGCAAGGGGTGAGCCTTAAGGTCCCGCAGCTGTAAGAGTTTGCTGAAGGTGATGAACAAGTTTGGGAAACACGCAGTGGTGATTACTGCACAGCATTTTAAATATGATTTGTGTCACTGAATTGAGTGCTGAAAATGGTTAAAGTGGAGAATTTTATGTTAAATATATTTCACCACATGTGACAACACAAGCAAGAATTAAAATTACATGTAATCCTACGTAGTAAGCAGGTTGGGATATCGAGAAGATGCTTAGTAAGGTTTAGTCCTGAAATATACTTTAGCATCTATTTAATACTCTAAATTTGCATAATCTTATTGTATTTACACTTCTATAGGTGAACACAGAAAGCAACTCAATATGAAAACAAAACCATTCCTTGCCTGATTGCCTTCCTTTTCTCCTGCTGATCAGAAGAGACATAGGCCTTCATCTCCTCGGTAGCTCGATGAAGCTGAACTTCCAGGTTCTACACGGAAAGATCGTTTTCAGGGAGGCCTCACCCAGGAAAAACTCAGACAGGCTCCGGGCCCACTCGCTCGGTCTCACCTTAATCATACAGTTTGCGTAGTGGTATTTACTCTCCTCTTGCAGACACTCCTCACGTAGTCCTCTAACTTCCTACAACATAAATTTTAAAGGGGGCAACATTACTGCAACAGTAAGACAGATGCAGAGAGGACGGCTCTAAACATACAACAGAAGAGCCGTCGGGAGTAACTTCCTCTCTTGCAGTTTTAAGCTATTTAGCAGAATAGGTTGAAATCTTTTTTCGAGACTATTCACACTGCTCTGTTACTCACTTATTACGTTCTACGCATGTCCAGGACTGCCCTAAGTGCTGGGGACACAGGGTAAACAAGGCAGATGGGTCTTAGCTCTTGCTCAAGTGCAGGAGACATGAGGCGGGCGTAAGCAAGGAATGACAGCATGAGGGTGACTCAGACGGGGCGAGGGCTAGGGAGAAAAGTCAGCGGTGGAACGTGATAGAGACAGGCAGGCCAGGCTGGAGGGAGAGCGGGAAATCTAGGGTGACCAGAGAAGTCCTCCAGGAGAGGTGCCCAGTACACTGAAAGCAGCAGATGAAAAGGAAAGAGGGAAAGAATGAAGGGCAGAGCATCCCAGGCAGAGGAAAGCTGAGCAAAGCCTGGAGGAGGGCATGAGCCTGGCCATCTGGAGCTCAGGAAGAGGCCCATGTGGCTGAGGCTCATGCACGAGGAGCACAGTCATGAACAGGAAGTTAATGAGGCAGGAAGGGCCCTGGCCATCAGAGTTTGGAGGCTGGGTTTATTTTATTGTGTTTTTTTTTTAGATTTTTAAATACAAAAGGAAGCAATGGAGGGTAGACTAAATTTGAAAGAAGTTTCTCTGATGGCTCTATGGAGAATAAACTGAGAAGACAAGAGAGGCAGCAGGAGAGAGGGTTACTTTGGGAGTTTAGACAAGGGATGATGGACTTTGGACTCTGGCAACAGTGATACAAGTGAGAAAATTCACTGTGCACACAGAAGGCTTAAAGACTTGATCTCAGAGCTTAGGAGACAGCTAGGAAATGACAAGAAAGATCTGGCTCTGGCGGAGTAAAAATGTGCAGTTTCTGCTAAACAGGCAGTGCTGGTTAACTGTTACAAAGCTCTTCTTACCTGTTCTAATTTGGACCGACTGCTCTCAAGGCCTGCTGCACAGCTATCATACTGGGATTTCTTTTCGTCACATTCCTGGGTTAGAGCCTAGTACGAAAGGGCAAACAACTGGATAAGTGAAAAACAGCGGGCTGAAATGCAGCTCGGAAACAGTGTGTGCCCTTGTCAGTCTTGTAACTGAACTCTAAGCTTCTTGGCGTACTTAAGAGTTATTTATACAACAATTGGACATTTGAGAATTATGACAGATGGAGGCGCTGATAAGAATGATAGCTGCCACGGACAGAGCTGTGTGCCAGTCTCTCTGTTAGGCTGGAGAAACAACAGTGAAGCAAATACCAACGGTTCTTCCCCTTAGTAACGCTCAGACGAGTAAACAGGCTGCTGAGAGCTATGTATGGGTGACACTAGGGACAAACGCAAGGTGTACAGGAGCACACGGGACTCTCATGGAGCTGAGTCAGCTTTGAGGTCAGTGGGGACAACTTCCCAGAGAAACTGAACCTAAACTGAGCATAAAGGGCTAGTAACAGCTGCTGAGGGAAAGTGAACAAGCAGAAGAGGGTACTTTCTAAAAAAGGAACAACTCAGAATGAAGGAAGGGAACAGGAACAACTAAGGATCGGACAACAGCGAAGTGTGCTGCAGAGCATCTGGGCAGTGGTGAGCCAGGGGAAGATTAGCTGGGGCCCGGCCAGGAGAACCTCACAGATGCTAGGGCGTTTGAACTGGGCCTGACACTAACCAAATCCTACCACAGGGCCATGAAGGAGGGGCTGCTACTGCTACATAATGCTTGGAGAACATTCAGGAAGGCCACATGCCTTGCCAAAGATTATACAGCTGGAAACGGAGGGGGCGGGGTTAGGGTTAGGGTTTAGGCTATTTTTCTAGTTTCAATGTTTATTCTAATATAATATTTTGAATGAGACACTTTGAAAATCTGCAAATACCTAGAAATATGATTGAGTATCTGCAACTACTTTTTTCTTCTGCAACTAAGTGACAAGGTAGAGCAAATATATTTTTAAATCCAGAGATAAAGTGGATTCTCAAGGAGGTAAGAGGCACTGCCAGGGCCAGAAACAAGGGCTGACACATGGTGGCTACTCACCGTGCAGCAGCGTCTTGGTGACAGTGAATATTAATATTCAGGCAGGCAGAAGAAAGGACTCAGGCCTATGCATGATGGGGAGCTACAACAGAAGACCTATGCCTTACTGCAGTAACCTACGCCACTTTCAACCTCACAACTAACCTGTGATCAGAGCTAGCGAGAGCCTGGGACGCCCTTCGTTTCACATCAGTGTCCTTGGAAACAGAAGCGAGCCTCTGGAAGAAGGCTGTGGTGTGCAAGGGCACCTGCACTGGGTGACCAGCACAGTGGGCTGCGGCGGGAGGGCTGGGGCTGTGTGTGTCGACCTGACTGATGGACACCGACAGCTCTCAGTGTCACTGTCACACACACCCTCAGTGGGATGAGGGGCAGCACATGCTGTGTACTTAGGAGGTTACTGGGTCTCTCAGTGAAAAGAAGATGCCACAGCTGCAAAAGCTTCTTTAACCTACGTGACCAGAGACATTAGCTCAAAATTATCTCCAATCTTAGAAAGGAGGAAAGAAAGAAGGGAAAAGGTTATATACATAAGACATATAACTATATTACTAATCTAATGTTAGTTCATCAAAAAGAATAGTTTGTGCTTTCAATGTTCAATTGTTTGATCATTTCTTTTATGCCTAAATTTTATAATCTGAACAACCACTTTGAAGATAACAATATGCAACATATTAACTTGTGTTGATTTTCTATTATTTGATTTGTTTTGAAATTTTGTATCATTGTTTTGTTTTAAAATGCCAATTAGAAAAAAAAGGAAATTATCTCTAATTTTGCAATATTTCTAAAGCACCTGGCAGGTAACAGCAAAACCACTGCAGAGGGCTGGGGATATAGCTCAGCAGCGAAAGTGCCTACCTGGTATGTTTGAGGTCCTGAATTGGATTCCCAGTACCAAAACAAACAAAGCCACTCTGGAGGTACACACACTTGCATTCCAGCAGCCAGGACTGAGACAAAGCCCTGCTACCGGTAAACTCGGTCTCAGAGTGGAAACCCTAGGAGAAGGAAATGACTGGTCCACTAGGTATAAAATATAGCAAGATGTAAAGAGCAGGCTTAGTCCTCAAGGAACTCTGGTACTACACCTAATCAGATGAGAGTGCTTAACACAATAACAACTTACGAACTTCAAACAGAAGACTGGAAAAACGGGGCTAGCTCAGCGGCATAAGCACCTGCCTTGCAAGCAGGCAGTCCTGAGTTCGATCTCTGGTACCAATAAAAACGAAAAAAAAAAAAAAAGACTGGAAAAAGGACACACTCAGAAGAAAATGAAAATGATGGACCACTATTGTAAAGATCACGAGATACGCTAAGGCATCTATTACTGTTATCCCGGGATCCTACTCTCAAGTTCTGTACCAATTTCACTGCATTGTCCTGATTGGCTTTGTTCTTTGCTTTGTTGTATTTTACTATCTTCAAAATAAAAGAAAAAAATAGAAAAGGAAAAGAAAAAAAATGAAAAAGATAGTCATTGAAATTAAAAATTAAATGGATAGCCGGCGTAGTGCCAGCTGAGGCAGAGATTATTCCAAGTTTGAAATCAGCCTGGGCTACAAAGTAAGTTCGAGGCCAGCCTAGATTGCATAGCAAGATCCTGGTTCAACAAGACCAAAAGCAAAAAACAAAAAACCAGACAAACAAACAAAAAAACCCTAAGTGAATAGAATAAGTCTGAGACTGGACATCACTGAGATAAAATGAGCTATGAAACACTGAAGTTATCCAACATAGACACAAAGAGAGAAAAAGGTGAAAATATCAAATTATGGTTACGTGTAAGAAACAGAAGAGACATTGTATCTAGTAGGAATGGATGGAGTACAAAGAGGAAAAAATGAGGGACTATATGAAGACACCACATAGAAATTTCCCAGAACGAACGTCCTGTGCCTTCAGTCTGGACCATCTCTCACCAGCCCGGCTGTTCAGAGCAGGACTTTGGAAGGCGGCTGGTCCTGGGGGTGCTGTACTGGCCATGGGCCAGTCCGAGGGCTCAGAGCTGACCTGCTACTAGGAGCTGGGCCCAGTGAGCTGCCAGGCCCGGAGGGTGTGACCTGGGGACCCCAGGCTCTTTTCTCCCCAGCTGCCTGGATGCCCAGTGTTGAGCTCCTCTCCCTCCACCACGGCTCGGTGCTGTCCTGTGACCACCACGCAGCTGGCTGCACATGGACAGAAACCGTGGACCAGAGTAAAACTCTCCTTTAAGCTGTGTGTTCTGCGAGTTGTGACTCAGCAGTGAGAAAAGTGACTAAGACGTCACAAAAGACACAGATTCCAGCAAAGCAAATAGAACTAAACCTATGCTGAGATTACAGTAATGACATATGGATAAAGACATAAAGAAATGACATAAAGAAAGATAAAAATGCTACAACCTAATACTTACAAAGACATGATAAACTGACAGCAGACCCCTTCAACACAGTAAAAGAGTGAAAAATTTTTGACCAATCTATTATTTAATTTACCAAAAAAAAAAAAGAAGGAAAGAAGGATGCACTTGAGACATTTTTCTAGCCAAGCAGATGCACCCTGAGACCAACTCTTAATAAACTGGACACACATTTGGATACTGCATTGTGTTCTCCGCTGTGAGAAATCAAAAGTATAAATACAGATCAAAATTTATGGCACATATTAGGAAAAGGGAACAAAATGCTGATGAATGTGATCCTATGGATCTAAGATGTGCCAATACATTTAATGAATGAAAAAAATCTCCACTTATTAATTCCCAGAAAAATCTCTGGAAAATATACAAAAACTTGTTAACAGTTGTTTCTGCTTGGAAATATGCGGGGGCTGGGGGTGGGGGTGCAGCAGCTGGTGCTGAACAAGAATTTTTTTTTTCCCTTTAATAATTCTAAACAGTTTGAATTCTTTGCCAAAAGCATGGATCTATTTACTTTCTTTTTTTCTTTGAGATAGTGTCTCACTATGTAGCTGAGACTGGCCTTGAACTTATGGTGATCCTCCTGCTTTAGCCTCCTACATGCTGGGAATACAGGCATTACAGGCATGTACCATCAAGCCCAACTCTGATGTGCATATGATTTTAAAAAAATCTTATTGGCTGCATTTGTGAATTTCAGTTTAAATTTCTTTTTCTCCCTTTCTCCACTAATTCATGAAAAAAATGAGTAGCACAATTTAAACAAAAATCTTTGTAGGTCACAAATCATATCAAAATAACAATAATAATTTATTTTTTGTAATTGTCTAAGTAGAGCACCGGATAGTCTAGCCACTATATAAGAACAAGATGGAAGCTAAAAAAAGTCCTAAACCAAATTCACTTACTTGACATTTCTGACGCAGCTGTCGCAGTTCTTTTATAACTGGGGCGAGGGCCGACTTCTTTTCAGATACCAGGGAATTCAGCTTTTTTATCTGCCATTTAACAAAAAATATGATGCCTTAAAAATGATTCAAAAGAGAAAATACTACACACATAAAAATACTTACTGAAAGAGTAAAAAACTATAAATTACTTCAGTGCCAAACAATGTGGAAACGACTTAGTAAATTTTTATTCCTCAGCAAGATGGAGTATCATTTACCAAAGGGAACTTAAAATTTCAATTATCAAGAATGTAAACTACTATGGGACAATAATTTTAAACAGTGAAGTTGCCCAACAAATAAACATAGTTGTGTAAGTTATACAAAACATACATAGATGGAGTGATGTTCATAGTACTTAGTAATCTGAATGCCGTAAGTAGTAACTTATTAAGAGTATCAACCAACCATAAGGATGAAGAGAGTCCTGCAGTCTTCTTCGGTGCTAAATATTAATTTTTTCATAGATTTCTTTGGTAGTCTTCTTTCTTTTCTGTCTTTTTTTTTTTTTTTTGAGACAGTCTCACCATGTACCTCAGGCTGGCCTTGAACTCACTGCAATCCTCCTGCCTCAGCCTCCTGAGTGCTGGGATTACAGACATGCTCCACCATGCCCAGATTAAATACCAATTGGTGTGTGTGTGTGGGTGTGGTGCTAGGGATCGAATCCAGGGCCTTCTGCATGCTAAGCAAGAGCTTTATCTCTGAGCCACATTCCGAGCCCCAAATACTAACTTTTTCCCCAAATACTAATTTTTTGAGGAGTTGGACTTTGGTAAAATCCAGAAGATCCCAGGTAAATGCCCACTGTGGACAAAGCATCTGCCTCTGGCCCTGGAAGACAGTGAGGAGACCGGGTGGGGGGCAGGGTGGTCACCATTTCGGACATGTCATCCAGGGTTCGTCCCTTCAGCTCATCGACTTCACTCTTCAGGGCCGACACCCTTTCCAGCTCTTCCTGGGTGTAACTGTACCCAGATACGCCCCTTTTCTCCTCCATGGCTTGCTGTAAATCAGAAATAAAAGCCACACATGGTATCAACACCCTGTTGGATCCCATTAAAGTATGCAGACTCTGTATTCAGAAAAAGGTTGTTAGCAAATCTGTTTAGACTCGTAAAGGATAATTTTCAATTACTTCAAATATTGCCTCATTCAGTTAGGTGCCTTCACATGTCACAGACCTACCCTAAATGTCATCCTCTGGGGCGCAGGAAGCGTTTCCAGCTTCAGGCCTTAGACCAGAGCGCCACACTTAGCTCAGGACACGCTCACTAAGTATTTGCTGAACCACTCAGGCAATATTTACTGTCCACCCACTGTACCACCACATAGCTCCAGGCACCAAGACACTACAGTTCAGGAAAAAGAAAAAGAAAAAAATAAATAAACAAACCAACTTTGCCCTCACAGTTTACTCCTATTGGGAGTAAATAAACAACACTTAAATAGGTAAGTCCAACACAGAGTGCAAGGTGAGAATGTGACCTCCTGAAACCCCTGAAATGACCAGAGAGCAGAGGCCCAGAGGCAGTGCAGAGCTGCAGCCCCACAATGGGTGGGAACAGACCCTTAGCCGGGAAAGAACCAGGGTGCAGAGCCCCAGGGAGCCACAGGAAGGCACATTTTATGGGAAGAAGGAGTGATTAACAGAGCTAAATGCTGCTAACAGGCTGAACAAGAACAGGACTGAGAAGTGACCATTGGCCTCAGCAATGCGAAAGGCCAAGTGACCTGGGAAGAGACATTCCACAGAAATGGAAGGCTTGAAAACCTTATTAGAGAGGCTGAAATGGAATAAACAACACGAGAGAAAGGACCAGGAGGGAGAGAGCCAAGAGGCGCTAGAATTCTTAAGTTGCCAACAGGAGTGAGACCCAGAGGGATGGAGGGAATTACAGGGAATCAGCCCAAAATTCAGTCTGCAATTTCCTCTTTAGACAGCACCAAAATCCTAAATTGTGCATAAGCAGGCTAAGACTCAAAAATCAAACGCGGATGAGCAGATCTGCTCAGCTCAATAACCTGACAGTGCAGCGCACTGGAGGTAGAAAGGCCGGACTTCAGGGTTCTGCAGGCCTGGTAACGCCCCAGGCTCTCAGTTAAAGCCTCCGGGCTGCGCCTTACAGACACAACTAAGAGACAGGCATGTGAGGAAGACACATTCCCAGGAGGAAAGTCTCTGCACCACAGGGTAAGGACACAGAACTAACAGCGCAGGCGTATGTGAAGACCAGAAACAGTTATCTCTGCAAACCTACCCGCAAATCAAGGCCATCTGCCAAAAAATCCATCCATCCATCCATCCATCCATCCATCCATCCATCCATATATTTGTCTATCCATCCATCTTTACATCCATCTATCTATCCATCTATCTATCCTCAAAAGAAGGAAATACAGGGCTTAAAATTTAATCATATTTCATTTTTTTATGTTCAATAAAAATTGCTAGGTGTAATGGTTGATACATTGTGTCAACTTGAGAAGTTTAGAAGTTTTTTTTTTATGGCTACCAGGGATCAAACTCATTACCACAGCTTGCAAGGCAGGCGCTTATGCAGCTGAGCTAAATCCCCAGCCCCCAGGTTTAGAAATGTAACTGAGTGACTCAGCAGGGGTCAGAGGCCTCACTTTTTAAATGTCCTCAGCCTGCAGAAGAGAAAGCCCGGAGATGGTGAGGGTGCCACACTCACCCAAGGGCAGGAAGCTTGCATACAACATCAGGGAGGAAAAGAGGCTAGCTGTCCCCTCTTTTTGCCCTTATCCCTTTTGCTGTCTTCCGCTGCCTTGAACTGTTGCCCCATACCATGCAGCTGAGTTAGACAGAAATGTTATAGGCAGTCATTCAGGGCTGAGCCCTCAAAGGAGCCAGAGCAGAAGTGCAGATATTTTGTAGCCTAACAAGAGACAATCACCTCCTGCTGTGGGCCAAACTGCAAGAGGCAAAGCAAATACCACCACATCCGAACAGTCTCCAGGTGGGAATAGTTCTACTATCACCCTGAGGAAGTCAAGACTCTCCTCCTCCAGGAAGAGTCACTGCTGCTAAGCATGGCCCCCTTACTATGTGACTTGCTCCCCCACATTTGCTCCCAATTTAGTCATTAATCTTATTGGTTGACCACAGTTTTGTCCTGTCTTATGCCCATCTTGCAAATTCCTATTTTTCCCCACCTTTAGCTCATTTAACCTTATGATTTTACTCTATAGAAGTCCTTCTATAGAAGTCCCTGGGCACACGTGTACCCTAAAAAAAGACAGTCTTTGGCAACCCGCTCGGGTCCCCTTCTGTCTCTCTCAGACAGAAGCTTTCCTTTTCTCAATAAATATATTCTGCTCTTAACTTTCATTATTCCTAAAATTCATTTGTTGATTTTAGAGAACACAAACTTGTACTGGACATAGTAGGTCGCGAGTTTCATTCTCCTATATCAATGTCACCCTGCCTTGCAGCCAACTCATTATGGACTGAAACTGAACAAATTGTGAGCCAGAGGAAATGCTTTTCTTTTTTTTGTTTGTTTGTTTTTATCGGTACCGGGGATTGAACTCATGGCTGCCTGCTTGCAAGGCAGGCGCTTATGCCACTGAGCTAAATCCCCAGCCCCCAGAGATGCTTTTCTTAATTTTGGCCCAGAGAAAAGTAATTAAGACATTAGGTAAACAAAGTAACAGAGCCAAAGGAGTGAAAATCAAGAGAAAAACAAATGATAGATAGAAATGTTCATTTTAGGGGCTGGGGATTTAGCTTAGCGGCATAAGCACCTGCCTTGCAAGCAGGCAGTCATGAGTTTGATCCCCGGTACCGGAAAAAAAAAAAAAAAGGAAATGTTCAATTTATCACACAGAAATTTCAAAGTAGCCACCATGCCAGGTGTGGTGGTACATGCCTATAATCCCAGCACTCAGGAGCTGAGGCAGGAAGACTGCCACTAGTTTGAGTATAGCCCGGGCTACACAGTATTCAGTGCCAGCCTGAATTACATGGTGGAGCCCTGTCTCAAAAACCCCAAAATAAACAAACAAACAGTTGAAAGTGTAAATCAGTAATGGAACACTCACCTAATATGTGAGGCTGCCCATTTGATCCCCAGAATCACACAAATGCACAGAAGTTGAAGAACATTATAAACAGCAGGAATCAATGAAATAGAATCAAATAGAAATTCTAAAACTAAGACATATAATAACTGATATTAAGAATTTAAAAGCCAGTTGTGGTGATGTATGCCTGTAATTACAGCACTCTGGAGGCTGAGGCAGGATTGCTGTGAGTTCAAAGCCACCTTGAACTACATAGTGAGACTCTGTCTCACAAAGCAAACAAAACAAAAATCAATAAATGGGCCATGTGTGGTGGTACAGGCCTATATAATCTCAGCACTTGGGAGGCTAAGGCAGGAGGATTGCTGTGAGTTCCAGGCAAGCTGGGGCTACATACTGAGTTCAAGGTCAGCTTGAACTACATATCAAGACTGTCTCAAAAATAAATAGAAAAATAAATAAATAAACCAAAACCAAAACTGAAAAACACATTCAACTACATATTCAAGAAGCTAGAGCTACGTAAGTTAAAAACAAACAGGGAATTTATAGACAAAATCAAACACAGAAACTCTTAAAGAATAACCAAAGGATAACACAACCTTTAAAAAAAGATATATAAGAGACTTTGCATTAGAAATAACCAAAGTTAGAAGACAACGGAACTAAATCTTTAAAGCGCTGACAGACGATTGGTACTGCAGCCATTACAGGGCTACGTTCGCGGTGGAATACTCCGCCGGTTCGTTTGCACCTGGTGGTTTTGATATGTGTGTGTGTTCCTCAGGGGAACCTTGAGGCGTCCCCCAAGAGTACCTACCAAAACTTCTACGTGGGTAAAAATGTGCTTCACCCCGCCTAGGTACTGCACCCCCATGCTCACAGCAGCACAATCCCTAACAGCCAGGCCGTGGAGGCAGCCTACAGGTCCACCATCAGAGGCATGGATGAGGAAAATGTGGTGTTTGCACACAATGGAGCGCTACTCCGCCTGAAGAAAGAGGAACCTCAGTCACACAGCAAGATCCTGTCTCAAAACAAAACAAAACAAACTTAAGGGAACACTACTCAAGTGTTGTGTTGTAATCTCCAATATAAGCACGCACACACACACACAGATGACAACAAAAGAAGTTATAACCATAAAGGTGGGGAAACGTGAACAATTACGCAGTTACTATCAGTTTCAAAGCTAGTACTGCTAGAATCCACGTGTGATTCTCGATCTTAAATTCTCTAGAAGCAAACAATACTCGTCAGCACAAAATGGAAAAGTACACACTGCCTTCTAAGAGAAACGGCAGCTGGCTGAATGTCACACACCTCTCCCAGGTGACTGCTGGCTGCGAAGCCCCATCCCGATGTTTCCCAAGTGAGAAAGAAGAAACCCAACCAAGAAACTGGGAGGGCTGGCAGCGCAGTGACGGGGGCCGCCCAGACGCTGCAGAGGGGATACAGAGGCGCAGCCTGCAGGCGCCTCCCACACAGCCCGCTCTGGAAGCTTCTTTCCGAAGTCCCTTGGAAGCCACGGTTAGAGATCTCTGCCCAGGAGACCGCAGTATGTAAATGTTTTACAGTCACTCTCTTGGTATTATAATTATACCCAAATTAAATAGCTAATCAAAAGAAAAACCTACTTGGACCTCAACTTCTATTAATAATCCCCAAGTCGGCACACATATTTTAAAAAGCAGTGCTTACTGCTACATTAAAAATAAATGAATCAGCTTTTATGACATTTCGGTAATTAATCAGAGAATATTAATAATTTTATGGGTCTTCCAGTAAAAACAATGACCTCAGTCCAAAGCTGTAACCATAAATCAGGCACAGTAGTTACAGGAGCCCAAGATAATACCACATTACCAGCTGATGCTGAGTATTTTCATCTCGTTGCTTAAGAAGTTCTTCTGTTCTCTGCAAGAGCCCAAATTCAGCCTTAAATTCAGCTATCAGCTGATGCTTCTTTTTGAAAACTGTACTCTTGCTTCGAAGTTTACTGACATATCGTTTGAACTGTAAAAAAAAAAAAAAAGAAAAAAGCCAATATGTAATCCAGAGTGTAAGAGTAGTAGCTAAGCCTCACACATAACCTGAACTTTCTTCTCTACTTACTAATGCACATACTGCAAATATGTAATAACTTAGATTTATTAGAAAACTGGGAAAGACTACTCACAACATTCTGGAGGCAGTGTAGTAGTGTACACCTACAATTACAGCTCACAGAGGGCTCAGAGGTAAAACGGACTATCTCAAAAAAAATTAGTGTACATCTTTAATTTTTGGACCAATCTAAATATTCTATGACCTTGTACATACCTATTCAACTACTAACAAGAAACAGAAATGGGCAGCAATGGTACACTACACATTGTCACCCCCAATCAGTCACCTCAACCACAAGACATCTACATTCAACTGTCCAAACAATACCAACATAAATGGTTCTCTTCAGTGAACTCTGAGAAGTCAGTAGTATAACTGTCTTAACTTTTTATATACATATACTGTTTCTTTCAGCTTCTCACACTGAGACAATACAATGTTTACATGTGTCTTTTTTTTTGTCTTTTGAGACAGGGTCTCCTATGCAGTTCAAGCTGGCTTTGGCCTCACTTTGTAGCCCAGGCTGGTCTCGAATTGGCAACGATCGTCCTGCCTCAGGCTCTGGCGTGCTGGGATTACAGGTGTGAGCCACCACCCCGGGCCCCATGTATGTCTTATTTATTTCAGTAGTAACGAGCATGGTCTCTAGTTGCGTCCATTTACCTATGAAAGTCTCCAGTTTGGGCAACCCACTCAGGACCCCTTCTGTCTCTCTCTGAGACAGAAGCTTGTTTTCTCTCAATAAATATTTCTCTTCTTAACCTCTGTTGTTCCTAAAATTCATTCTTTGATTTTAAAGAACATGAATTCGTACTGGACATAGGTTGGGAGTTTTGTTCCCCTGGATCAAAAGGATAAATGCCTTCTTGCTTTCGAAGAACTGTACCAAATCAAACTCTATACTGTCCCCACCAATAACCCAGAGAATGCCCAGCTAACAGGATAAATCATCAGTTCTGAATTTTCACTCATCTGAGAGAAGAAAATTAATGTTCGCTCAGGGTTATTATACTTTTTGTGGTAAACTGTTATGTACTTTGAACATTTTTTCTAGAGAGTTCTTGGGTACGCTAAATTTCTAGAAGTTATTTGTGTCATAGAGGGATTAACAATCTATTGTATGATTTGCAAATTTTTCTCAGATTGTCATTTGCCTCTTGAACTTGTTTCTTAGTCTGGTTTTCTGAGACAAGTTCTCACTATGTAGTTCAGAAATTCACGTGTAGCCAGGTGTGATGGCTCACACCTATAATCCCAGCACCCGGGAGGCTGAGGTGGGAGGATCGTGGTAAGTTCGAGACCAGCCTGGGCTACAGAGTGAGCTCAAGGCCAGCCTGAACTGCATAATGAGATCCCGTCTCAAAAAAGACAAAAAAAAAAAAAAAAAAATCACATGTAACCCAGGCTGACCTCAAACTCACAGTGATCCTCTGTCTCAGTCTTCCATAATGCTGGGATGGATTTTGTTTATTCTTTAAAGAACTATTAATTTTTTTTTTTTACTTTATTTGGGAGAGGTTACCAGAAATCGAACTCAAGACCTTGCACTTCCCAGGCAGGCACTGTACCACTTAGCTATATCCCTCGCCCTTAAATTTATTCTTTTTTTTTTTTTTTTGTCTTTTTTCTTTTTATCGGTACCAGGGATCAAACTCACAACTGCCTGCTTGCAAGGCAGCCGCTTATGCCGCTGAGCTAAATCCCCAACCCCTTAAATTTATTCTTTATAGTGTAGTTGATCAGTCTTCAATGGCTTCTGGATTTTGAGTCACAGTTGCAAAGGATGTTTCCTTGTCAAAGTACTGAAGGAATTTGCCCATGATTTCTTCAAGTACTTTTTTTTCCCCACTTGTGATTTTCTTTGATCTTCAAGTACTTTTATAGCTTTTAAAAAGAAAGTAAATCATCAATTAATGTAGAGTCTATTTTGGTGTACAGTATGGGGTATAGATTTAGGCTGTCATTGTTTTGAAACAGAAAAGGCTAAACTAAAACACAGACAGACTAAGGTGATTTAGTTCCCATCAAGAGACCGGGCCAATTGACAGAGCCTGATGCTTGGGAAAAAAAAAGTCTCCAGTTTATAACTTCTTTATGGCTGAGTAGTATTCCACTGTAGAAAAATATCATTTTTACCCAGTCTTCAGTTGATGGGCATCTAGGTTGTTTCTAAGATCCAGCTATTACAAATTGTGCTGCTATAAACGGGTGCACATATATCACACTGTAGTATGATGTTTTTAATTCTTTTAGGAAGATACCCAGAAGGGGAATAGCTGGCTTGAATGGGGCGTCTAGTCCTGGTTTTTGAGGAATCTCCCCATTGATTTCCACAGTCAACCTGGTAATTTAAACACATCACCTCAAAACAAAACAAGCTGTGTGCAGTGATGCATGCTGGTAATTATAGCTGCTTGGAAGGTTAAGGCAGGACTGGAAGTTCGAGTTCAGCTTGGTCATCTCAACAAGCCCTTGTCCTTTGTAATAAAAAAGGATTTAGCATGTTGCTTAATGCTAGAGTGGACGGACTGATTCACACACACACACACACAAACACACACAGAGCAAGCTACCTTTTTTTACTTTTATCTTCTTGTGACAGTGTTCCTATGTAGTTCAGGCTGGCCTCAAACTCACAGCAATCCTCCTGCCTCAGCCTCCCGAGAGCTGGGATTACAGGGCATGTACTATCATGCCTGGCTTTTTCCTTCTAAATTTTAAGGCTAATTATAAGATCAGTAATTTAAACTTAAATCTAAATTATAGGTAGTAAAATAGTATAGCATTGCCAACATTTATTTTGCCTTAAAGCACATATTCCCTGATTATACCAAAAAAAATCTCAAAAGTAGGGAGATTAAAAATTGACTGCATAAACATAATCCTCCAATTTTTAGTTCAGACATTTTTATACACTTGACTTAAGCTTTGAAAAAAATCAAAGAACATGTTGTATTTTAGAGGAAGTTCAAGCAGGTTTATCCCTGGCTGAGTTTGTTTTAATGTTAAGGAATCCGGCCCCCACATAGAAAATTTTCAATGGCTGATCACAGGAACTGCTCTAAAATTTAAAGTCACATCAATGTACCTAGAGTCTAATAACTTCCAATTTTCCCTTTTATGGTATACATGTGTATGCCTGATAAAAGCCTGGACTCAGAATCCCTAGAGTAACTATATGTTCTATTAAAAGTACCTGGGCAAAGCGCCCAAAATGAAATCAATTCTGCTCATCTGCTACCCTCTGTAATATCTAGGCCAATTTCCCCTTCTCTGTCTTGCTGTGCTCCAGTACTATTTTTGAAAGCTGCACGACAGAAATGGTTTGGGTGAAAGAACAATCTCACAAATTATTAATGTGTTCTACGCGGACTGGTTATGATCTGATATTACTGTAATACTACCTGGGGCAAGGTAATTGGGTCAGACTAATCCCTGGGCTACAAAAATAAGCCACAGGTGCACTGGGCCCATGGGCTCTACCGCCCTGAAACTAGGCAGAAGACAGAAAACACACTGTCTATTTTCTTCTTCCATTGGACGCTTCCTCTGTTTATCATTTGGATTTTTATTTACTTCTGAATTTTTAACACCATATAAGAAGAGCATGATAAACACACTGAATCTTCAGACATACTGGGTAATTTCTGTAGAACATTTTTCCAGAAATGGTCAAAGGGAACATAGGCTTCTGATACATTCTGCCAAACTGCCCTTCAAAAGGCTATTTATAATACTTTTATAACCCATCTGATAAGCAAGCAAAATAATACCTTAGTTTTTATTTGCATTTCTTTATTAGGGAAATTCACTTTTTCACCATGCATACTGTGCATCTATGGGGATTTAAACAAAAGATTTTCTTTAACCCTCTTTTATTAGGGTGTTTGCCCTTTTCTTGTGTAAAATACTGATTCCCAAACTTTCTGGTCTTGGGAACCCTTCATAGATTCTTTTTTTTTTTTTTTTTTTGTCTTTTTGCGACAGAGTCTCACTATGTAGTTCAGGCTGGCTTTGAGCTCACTTTGTAGCCCAGGCTGGTCTCGAACTTGCTACAGTCCTCCTGCCTCAGCCTCCTGAGGGCTGGGATTACAGGCGTTAGCCACCACGCTCGGCTCATCCCTTCATATATATATATATATATATATATATATATATATATATATACATATATATATATTTTTTTTTAACTTGCTAGATATCACAAAAGATATATATTCTTAAAATCATTGAGGATCTCAAAGAGATTAACGTTGATTCTATCTACCAATACTTACTACACTAGAAATGAAAACTGACAAAATTCTAATACAAGGGAACACTCCATTAAGCCCCCGGAGTGACAGCACGGAGACAGCGCGCTCAGGCAGGAATGGAAGTGGGGAAGCCTGGCCCCGACCTTTCCCCCTCCCTGGTTTAGGCGCGGCAGTGCGGGGGGCCCGGAGCCACTCGAAGGGGCCAGAGCGTCCCAAGGGCTCGCTGGGTGGCGAGCGGAACCACGGGCCAGCGAGCAGGCCGCGGAAGCGCGGAGCGGCAGGCTGCAGGGCCAAGGATGGGGAAGGTGCAGGACGGGGCGGGCGGACCTGGCAGCTGAGGTCACAGAGGGCGAGGGGGCGGCAGGACGCCCTGCAAACAGCGGCGACGGCGTGGAGGGGCCAGCACAAAGGCTGTAGCAGGCAGCAGCCGCAGTCACTAGGGGCTGGCTGGATGAGGGAAAGTGAGCCGACTGCAAACAAGCAAAGGCAGTGAGGAAAAGGGTCAGATTTCACAAGAGGCAAGATTTTAAAACCAGCAGCAGAAGCTAGAAAGAATGCGGAGGTACAGGGTGTTAGCACCCCAGCTCAGTAACATATTTACACAGATGAAGGGTCCTCGCGCGTGTGCAAACATATACAGATTTATTTCCA